TGAATGTGTGTGTAGATGCTTGGCAGAGCTTGGCTTGAGCTGCTGGTGTTTCTGCTGAGGCAGCCACTGAGGAGGCCAACGAGCCTGTCTGCTTCTGGTATTTACACTGGCCCGGTAAGAAATGGGCTGAGAGTACATGTTATAACCTCTCTCCTTCTGCATCCTGGCCAAGGTTAAGAAGTCAGGGAAATTTTCTTTAATAAGAACAGTATCAAAGAGGTCTTCTGCGTCATCTCCCAGATCCGTGATCTCTTTCATGAGTGACTTTCTTGTTCATAGAGATCTGCAGCCCTTTGAAGTCCCTGATAGTAAATAAAGGCGCATAATTTACAAACAGGGCTGAAGCCAGAAATACCTTTCTGTGTCTGTGCTCTCTGTTTACCAATTCAGGTTTCCAAAACCAGAGGAAGATTTCCCGGGCATCAGTGACCTACTGAGGCAACTTCCAAGCTCAGAATGGGGCTGGTGAGCAGGCAAGACCCCCACCTCCGAGAGGCCGTGTGGTTTGCGGTATGCTGCAGAGCCCTGACACTTCTGCTGCAGGCAAGTCTCCTGTTCTGAACCAAAGATGCTGCAACGTCTGTTGTTTGCTGCTCCAGGGCTTCTCTCTTCGGCACTGCCTTCCGCACCGTGAGCTAGCTGGTTCTGCTTGATTGGGAAATCGTCTTCTCCTTTGGAGAACCCACAGGCCAGCTGCATCCAGGGAGGCAGGTTGCTGTTAAGTAAAATTACATAACTTACTGTGTTTTCACACCACTGTTGCAAGAGGCCAGTTTGGCAGCCTGAGAGGCTGAAGTCTCTGTTTATCCACAGAAGAGGAACAATAATCTCCCCCTGCACATTCCTCCCGAGTCTCATTTCCAGAGACATCCTTCTCTGAGCGTGGGAGAGCTTGGTTGCTCACTCCATCCTACCTGTGCCTACCGAGACAGCCAGCAAAGAGTCTAGCTGTAGCCGTGGCCCTCCTGAAACAACATCAGCCTGAGAAAGCTGTTCAGCAGCAGGCCACTAGCCAGCTGGCAGGTTCTGGCAGCCCCAGTCACCACTGGGTAGGGCTGAGTGGAACCATCAGCTGAGATGAAAGACTCTGTGTTACAAATGCCAGAGGCCTGGTTAGACCAGATGTGTGCTTCATGGTAAAACGGCGGCTTTGTATTTCTTTTAGTCCCAATTTGTTCAGCGTGACCTTTTCTCTTTTCTCTGCCAATGTTGAATTCATGGCAGGGGAGTCATCCCAATCTACATGTAGCTAAGCTACAAAACTTACCATCTGAGGTTTTTGGGGTTTTGGGTTTTTTTAAAATATATTTTCATTTGGAACGACATTAAAATGCATTAAGCTGCATAATTCCTATCTCATGAACTCTCTGGGTTTTTTTCTCACCTTTTAAAATGTGGTCAGCACCAGAAGCTCCTGGAGGCAGAGGTGTGTCCATTCTGCTTGCTCGTCTCCGGGAAGCGGAACCCTTAATGCATGCCGAGCTGCCTAGGTGATGGAGTGATCTAGAGACTAGAGAGGGGGCCTAGAATCGGCTGCTGTCTTTTGCATCAGTTTGCCCCGGGAAAATCTTTTTCTCTAGTTTTGTCTCCTCTCCCTTGTACGTCTGCTGGGACAATAATGCCAAATTCAGTAGAACAGGAGGCTTACCAGTGCTGCAGTACCTGGTGTGAGCGTACACAGTTAGATGTGCCTGAGCATGGGGCCGAGCAGCTTTCCCTGTCCAATTCCATAGGGGTTCATGCTGGATATGTTCCAGAGCTTTATTCAGTTTAGGTATAAATGCCCCAAAAGATTGCATTTGCACCTTTCCACAGGCTTACAGGCGTCCCTTGCTGCAAAGCCCCTCAGCCTGGCTTCTGTGCTGTTCCTGTCCCCTTCTTTGAAATGCAGGAGTCCTCCTCCTGCTTGGTGCTTTCCGTAGGGTACAAGAGGATCTCCACTCGACTTCAATCCTCTCTTCTTTTTCAGGCTCTGTTTAACCTCCTGATCCCAGATCACGCTGCAGACGCCTTCTCTCCCCCTCGCCTGTCCGAGCCTGGCCTGTGGGACCTGCTCTTGGAGCAGCTGCTGGGAGGCCTCTCGCACTGGGATGCAGAGCACTTCCTCTTCATCGCTGAGCGTGGTTACCTGTACGAGCACAACTGCGCCTTCTTCCCGCTGTACCCCCTGAGCGTGCGTGCCGTGGCCGAGGGTGCTCTGTGGCCCTTGCAGTGGCTGCTGCGTTTGCGGAGCCGCCTCTTGCTATCAGCTGTACTTCTCAATTCTCTCTTTTCTGTCCTGGCAGCCGCTGCCTTGTATAAGCTGGGCTGCGTTGTGCTGCAATGTCGCAGGGTGGCTTTCCTTGCTGCTGTTCTCTTTTCTGTCAGCCCTGCCAACGTATTTATGGCAGCTGCTTACTCAGAGAGCATGTTTGCCTTCCTGGCATTCAGTGCCATGTGGCAACTGGAGAAGGGGCAGAGCTGGCTCAGTGGACTGCTCTTCTCCCTTGCTTCTGGGGTGCGTGCCAACGGGCTTATTAATGCTGGCTTCTTTCTCTACTCCCACGGTAAATGCTTTGTCCTCCAGCTCCAGGTCGGTTCAGGATCGGTAAGGAAGCTCCCTCTGTTGTGGAAGCAACTCCTTAGTGTGGCATCTTCAGCAGTTCTGACATGTGCTGGGATTTTTCTACCTTTTGCTTTATTTCAATATTATGCTTACGTGAGGTTCTGTGGTCCTGGCGGTGGCCTGGAGCAGACTGTTCCCAAGCCGCTGCTGCAGCTGGCTCGGGACAAGGGCTATCATCTGGCGGCCGTGAACGGGGTTAAACCTGCTTGGTGCTCCCAGCAGTTCCCTCTGGTCTATTCCTATATTCAAGATGCTTACTGGAATGTGGGCTTTCTCAGGTATTTTGAGCTCAGACAGATACCAAATTTCTTGCTTGCTTTGCCTGTCGCGCTTCTGGGCTCGTGGGCTGCCTGGACCTACATGATTGCAAACCCCCGGCACTGCCTAACTCTTGGTCTAGAGAGAAGAAAGAGTGAAGAAGAGAGTAAACCAAGAGCTGGATTTTGCTGCCCCGCTGTCTTTGTGTATGTGGTCCATGCCACAGTCCTGCTGGCGTTTGGATTCTTCTGCATGCACGTGCAGGTAGGATGTTCACAGCAACACAGAAGAGTGATTTCTTCAGGGGAATGCAGCGTGGTGGCTGAGGCAGTGACGGTCACAGCCTAAAGCTGTCCCAGCTGCAGGGCAGCACAGGGCAACGCAAACCAAAAGCTTTGCCTTTCCTCTTTCGGAGTTACTTCCACAGAGAGTTTCCAAAGCCAGTTAGTTCCTCTGCTCTCTGCTGGAGAGTTCCTGACGAGAGCTTGCCAGGTGCTTGGTGTGCTGAGGACGCCGGGACGGGGATCAAAGGGTCTGGCTGGCGTTAGCGGCGTTTGACATGTGCTTAAGGCCAGGCTTGCCAAGCCCTGCTAATCGCCTGTTGGAAGACAACGATACCGGGTCATTATCATGTTGGGCCAAGCTTAATGGATGGCAATGAAAGGATCCAGAGCCTGTCACCAGTACCTAGAAAGTGTTCGAAGGTCTTTTTAGGACACAGCTGGTGGCACTAAGGGTTGGGGGTTCCACTGAAAAAATAATTGAAGCGTAAGATTCAATTCTCCCCTGAAGCTGCTGCCTCTGCCCGGCTCCTGAGCTGGACAGTGACAAGGAGCGACAATTAGTTACCCTGCTTGTCCAAAACCTGGGGACCACTTCACTGCTTACACAAATGTTGTAATAAATAAAGCGGGTTGAGCTGAGAGGTGTTTCAGTGTAGTAAATCCTAGCACCATGAACTGGGGCTGTATTTCGGTCGTCTTTACCAGCAACCTGAGGCAGATAGATGGCTCTTTCCATGCCTCAGGACCAGGGCTGGTTGCAGTTGGAGACCTGCAATTTATGTGATTTTTGCTCTGCCTGTCGTCTTCAGGTGCTGACCCGGTTCCTTGGCTCCTCCTCTCCCATCCTGTACTGGTTCTCCGCTCACCTGCTTCAAGAATATGAACCTTTACTCCAGAGTGAAGGGACTGATAATCAAACTGTGGCAGCTCGCTCCGAGAAGTCTCTTCTAGGTAAATCTGGTTCCTGCGGGAGAGGGACTTCTGAAAACCCCATCGTGAAGCTGCTGATGAACTGTAGATTAATCACCCCCCTCAGCAAATGCATTCTTGGATTTTTCCTGTCCTACTGGCTGCTGGGACTGATTCTGCACTGCAACTTCTTGCCGTGGACGTAGTGAGGGGTGTGTATTGGTGCAGTCGGGTCGCGGGGCAGAAGCACTGATCAGAATTGAAACTCACTTTTTCTAAAAAGCCTGACGTATATGTAACGATGCTGTTGTCTCGGTTACAAAGGCGTTACTCCTCAGTTACTACGTACGTACAGAGCTGTCACTGCGTGAAACTGGCACGTTCCCTTTGCTGTGATGCTACAGCATCCTGCCCGTCTCTCCGCTGTCGTTACTGACGGCCAGAACTCCTGTAAGCTGCCCGGGACAGGGAATGCATCTCGGTTCTTCCGTCTTCTGGGAGAAGTACTGGTCCCGAGAAATTATTTATGGCAGGGATCCGTGTCTGTCGGATTCCGGTCCGTCGGGAAACCTCCGGTACAGCAGAGCGAGCATCCCTTGCAGGGAGGGTCCTGCAGCCTTCCGTGAGCCGCTCGGCCCGTTCCTTCTCTTCCCGAGCGCTCACCGCCCCCTGAGCGGCCGTGGGGCAGAGACGGGACGGCTCCGGTTGCTCCTCCCGGTGCTTCCACTCGGCGCTTTGCGGACCGGGGAGCGCGGCAGTCGCCGTCCGACCCCACGCCCGTCCCCAATAAACACCTCGAGTCCGCCGGAGCGGGCGGTTCTCCCGGTCGGGGCTCTCCCGGGACGAAGCCGCTCCCCTCCGGGAGGAACCGGGGGGACGGTGCCCGGCGCGGCCGGCAGGGGGCGCCGCGGGGAGGGG